TCAAAGGCGTTTACCTATATTTCCTTTAATAAATTTGACTTGACTTGACTTGTATCGCCCGCACGCTCGCAGTCAATACAAAGGCAAAACATTTCAGGAAAAACACGAATTGAAAGCAAGTTCTACTTCGGATACCGTCGATGCAACCGCCACCACCTAGGAAAAACGAGGAAACTATTCGCAGAGAAAAATCACACATATTTTGGATGTACGTCATTATAAATCAGGAAACATACCTGATCTGTATTCTTGGGTAGAGACTTTCGAGTCATCTCCATCTGCAGTCCGACAATGTACTCCCTGCAAATCGACAGCAGGCTCTTGGCTTCACTCTCCTCGGTACTGTTTTCTACCACAAGCAGCGGCACGAGAAGCAAGATCTCGCGAAATCGGTCGACGGCATCCGCAAACTTGGCCTTTGTTGTCAGCTGGTAGGCAGTTTGAAGGCGTGCAAGAAGATTGTCCAGTCTAACAGGTACGGCAGGAAGCCCAGAGGCGAGACCATTCCGCAAATTGGCCCAGTTACGTTGAGGGTACACACTCATTGTGGGTGTATTCTGAATTCCTGGCAAAGCTAGCCTCGATGCAGCAAAGATTGATTGGAAGATGGGTTTGTAGGAGGAGAAGTCAACTGCGCCAACCTGCTGATTCAGTAGGCACATCGCTTGACTCCAGTTGCCGGCACAGACCTGATCTACTACAAAGTTGGAATTCTCTGTCCAGTAGCTGGACGCAGAACGTCCAGGCACGGGTTCAACAAACGCTGAATCCACACCAGCAGCGCCTGTATCAGCTTTGTCTTCGATGGTGGCAAGCACTTCCGGCGGCAGGTCGAGGTCCTGATCTATATCCCAACCACCTGAAAGAAAAAAAGATTTTTTTCAATGCCAATCAATATCATCTAAGTTTTTGTTGTTGCAAGTGCAATACCATTCGAGTCGACAAAACCGGCTCTTCAAACGGCACGGTTTACCAACTAAACGGCATACCATTGAAAGAAGTGAAAGCCCAGAAGGACTTGGGAGTCTGGATCACGCCCTCGCTTAAACCCTCCCTCGTTGCGCAAAGGTAGCCAAGTCTGCGCTGTCGGTCCTATACCTCGTCAAGCGAGCTTTTTCTGCCCTCAATGAAGATTGCTTCGCAAAAGTCTTCGGAACCTTCGTACGACCGCAACTAGAATCCGCTATCCAAGCTTGGAGACCCTAGGCCGCAAAAGACATCAACATCCTCGAAAAGGTTCAAAAAAGCACAACCAAACTTGTTATGGCGCAGGGCTCGCAGTCTTATGAAACACGGCTGTCGAATCTCAA